TGTAAATTCTTAAGGGATGTTGGGATTAACTATTTAAATAGAACTGATAGTTAATAATTGATATTTGATAATCAATAATCATTGTTATTTATAATGCAAAATATCTAATTTGTTTAATTAGAAGATAACTTATAGTTATTTGTAAAAAACTGAACAAATACCCCTTAAAATGAAAATAAAACAAAATAAAAAAAGGACAACTATTTTGAGATGAAGAAAATAATGAATCTAATCCTTAAGATTTTAGGTGAGAGTGTTTGCGTTGTATTTGAAAACATTCTCTTTTTTTTTTTTTTTTTTGGCTAAATTAGGGAAATAGATGGTCCTTTATCTGTTGATTTTGTGATTTGGTATATTTATACTTACTTTTATGTTAGAATAAAACGAAACAAATTTAAAATTTAAAAAAAAAATTAAAAAAATTCATTTATGAATTACTGTAAAGAAGACATGATAATAGTAGAGTGCATGATTGGTTTATTTAATTGAGTTAGTTTTCTGGCGAAAGGTTGGATCAGAAATTGATGACACCATGAATATAAATTATGTTATGGGGATTGGGGAATTAGGAGAAGCTACCAAACCAGCATAGCTATATATTAGGATAGGTCAGCTGTAAGTCTGCTACTTAAAAAGTTCATTGCGAAAATGTAATGCAAGCACGGTAAATTTAAGAGGTCCAACACCGACATGAATTTTTTTTTATTTTTATAAAGATAATAATTAGTAGTTAAGTTAAAAATTATTAACAAATGAAGATTTAATCTGCAAAATAAGTGATTTTTCACCTATTTTATTGAGATGCGTAGCGCTTCGAACCGCATGGTGGAGTTCAACACCAACATGAATTTATTTGTCTAGAATTGGTAACATCTCTATCTTCAGGTCTCACATGCCCTTCCTATTCCAAAGAGGAAAAAGGAAGGAAAAGCATTGAAGCATATATTGGGGCTCTACACACACTGTTATGGTTATACCATTACTATTTAATTTGTTAAAGTCATCAATAATTGTCTAATTTTTAAATTTAATTTAATTAATAAAAATAATTAATAATTAATAAAAAAATATTAATATTTATTATTTAACATATTAAAATTAATTTATAAACAAATATTTTTAAATATCATATCAATTATTTAAAAAAATTATAAACTAATCAAATTTTAAATAAATTGATGGCTTTAATGATGACCGTTGTAATAACTTTGCCCCAAACACTCACCATCACTTTAAAGAGTTGTGGCTATCATGTACTTCCTTTCTTTAAAATTTATTTATGGTTAGGGTGTTTTAATACCAACTTTGGCATTCTTTGAGACTAAATCTCTTATAAATAATATTAAGAATGCACTCTGTACATTGATTTAGTATATTTAAAGAAATTAATTTTCTTAATATTATGTTTAAATTGAGAAAATTGGAGAGAAAGGAAGGAGAGGGGAAATTTTTCTTTTACTTTATTTTTTCTTTTAATTTAATTATTTATCTAAATGAAGGAAAGAGAAAAAAAGGGGAGGAAAGGATATAATTCTCCTCACTTCCCTTCCCTTCCCTTCCCTTCCCTTCCCTTCCCTTCCCTTCCCTTCCCTTCTCTTCTCTTCTCTTCTTCTCTTCTCTTCTTTTCTTTTCTATTTCCCTCAATTTAAACACAAGGTTCTTTTCTTTTCTATTTCCCTCAATTTAAACACAAGGTAAACACTAAAATTAAAACTTAAAATTTATATTTAATTTATAAAATAATACTTATTTATCAATAAATCTAACTCTTACATTTGCCTTCATATACTGCAACTCTTACATTTGCCTTCATATACTGCCACTCATTATCTAACCAACATATAATTTGTTATGGTTTCTTATACTCGAGCAAAATTCGAGTACACCACTGGATGAACGAATGTGTTTTGATAGGCCGAAATACATAAGAACCAGACATTATTGAGCCAGGCTCAAAGAAACAACCCAAACACCTAAGATCATTCATTAGTCATTTTTCTCACGGGGCCTGTAGTTAAGCCTGCATAGTCCTAAACCCAAGGTCCCGCTCTGGGCCTATGGGTTCCCTTAGGCCCATTGTTAATCAATCTCATCAAATCATTAATCTCGGAAAATCATTTCAAACATTCGTAATCAGCAAGACGACAGCCGCGTTCTACTGTTCCTTTTCGCATTTTACATTTTAAGAAAAGAGGTTAGTGCGCACCCAGGCTCCGTGTCGGATGGTTTTATGCTTGTGGTAAAGTGCATCCTATTTGTGTATCTTTAGTTTTAATTTTAAAGTTAAGATTTAAATTTTTTATCAATTATTTAAATATTTTAATGATTATTTTTTTTATTAAAAGTAAGA